CTGGCTGCTAGGCCACCATTCACAGGTATGGCCAAGATAACAGGGTACAGACCACCAAAAACGAAACCAACCAATCCACCCCGTGTTACGGTACAGGTTTCACAATTCAAATCACCTAGAAAATAAATCAGTTCTGACAATGAAGGTCATGATAGTCATGCAAACATGATTTTAAAGAATGCAAGGTCTTAAAAGTGTCAGAGATACTCAATTTTTAGGCAGCAAATGCAAATCTATAAGGCATGTTAGAAGGTATAATTATAGTACAGATAACCTAAAATAGCCAGGAATAACTGCTAGAGGATTTTTAATCTGTTTGTACTGCTTTTATCTTTCTGCACTTGTACTGGCAAACCTGAGCTAATACTTTTCTGTCTGTCGAAAACTTTTAACCCATGGGAATTTTTAAAAAATAATTTGTACTTCATCTTATGTTTTTACATTATATAGTGTGACTATTTTTATAAAATTCTTTATTCATTTCCAAGTTAATATAAGCTATATTAAAAATAGAAAGCTAAGTTAATAACATGTTTTACCCTGTTCAACTGGGTGGTAGGTTTCCCTATATCATAAAAATTCTTTCTACACTGATCATGGGGATTCAAGCAAAATACTCATCCAGTTTAAACCAATTTGGAACAGCACTTAAGAGAATTTAAATGGACTGTCTTTTATCCCACCATCATCTGTGGTAATGATGTTTTTATGTGAAATCAAATTTTTCATGATATATAGGCACGCCCTGATTCATTGTGCTGCACTTTACTGCCCTTCACAGATAATGCATTTTTTTTTTTTTAAATTAAAGGTTTGTGGCAACGCTGTTTTGGTCAGGTCTGTAGGCACCATTTTCCCAGCAGCATCTGCCCACTTCATGTCTCTGTCACATTTTGGTAATTCTCATAATATTTCAAACTTTTTCATTATTATTATATTTGTTACTGTGATCTGTTATCAGTGATTACCACACGCTGGAAGCTCAAATGATGGTTAGCACTTTTTAGCAATTTTTTAAGGTATGTACATTGGTTTTTTTAGACATAATACTACTGCACCCTTTAAACAGACTATAGCATATTGTAAACATAACTTTTATATGCACTGGGAAACCAAAAAATTCATTCACTTTATTGCAGTAGTCTGGCAAACCTGGAATATCTCCCACATATGCCTGTACTCAAAGCACTCGCACATACGGTAAACTGTCAAAAGGAAATCAAGTCTCCATATACTTGAAAATTCTTGTATATACATTTAGTGCTTTGAGAGATTTACTATGTAAATAGACTCTTCTTCCCATAAGTGTTTTCTCTCGAGGGACTTCTCTATAAATTTTTTTAAAAAAACTAAGGCAGTCATCATTTAAAAAGATAAAGTTTGCAAATATTTCTTTAAGAACTGTGGGAAAGATAAGTTAGATAAGGGAAAGTATTTAGAACTTCCTTGTATATTGTATTTTACTTGTACAGAAGACTTTGCTAATATGAACTAGCACTTTACATAGGCTAGCAAGTTTCAGTCTTACCCATGCACTGACTATGATATAGCATATAGTTAGGTACCTGATGTTAATATTTAAGGATTAACATAAGGTGCAAATATATACTAAAGCAAATTCTGATGATAAGTGAAATAGAATTTACCTGTATTCAAAGGTAAACTTACAAAACCTTTGTAAGATACGTGCGCAGTCAAAAATGGGATCACTGCCATTGGTAAGCCAGCAGCTATACGAGCCTGTGTCACATTTAGGATGCGTCGAAAAAGACTATTTGCTATTAGACCACAGAGACCAGCATTAAGTCCAACATATGTTGATCCATGTTCAAACAGATTCCT